TAGGGGGGTGTAGGGATTTAGGGTTTAACAGTTTAGGGTTTAACAGTTTAGGGTTTAAGAGTTTGGGGTTTGACAGTCTTAGGGGTCTAGGGTTTTATAGGTGTTTAGGGGTTTAGGGTCGAAGAGTTTTAGGGTTTTAGGGTTTAGGGGTTTAGGGTTTAGGGTCTCGGAGTTTAGGGTTTAGGAATTCTTGCTAGAAGGCCTTAGGGTTGCTGGCTCCCCCACTCTGATCGAAGCCTCTGACCGGCCGGCCTCTGTTTTTCAGAGGTCATCATTTTGGACGAAGCCGATTCCATGACGCCACTCTCCGGCAGAGAGTTTTTCTGCGCAGTGCGCCCTTCTCCGCCCCTTCTGCAGCGTGCAGGCATGATGCTCAGGCAGCTTTGCGAAGGATCATGGAGGCGCCTTCCACTCCGCGTTCTCTTAGAGCCGCTCAGCCACAGTCTGCAGGAGTTCGTGCATGTCACGCGCTTCATCATCATTTGCAATTATGTGTCCAAGATCATCGAGCCGGACTCTCAATGAAAAGCAGCTTTGTGCATTTGTCCGAGCCTGACGCCCTGACAGGCCCTTGCATTCTCGATGCTCCAAGTTCCGGTTTCAGCTGGTGGGCTTGATTCTGAGCTTGTTTCTTGGTGCGCCGCCGCTGTTCTTCCTGAACGTTTCACGAGGTGCCGAGTTCCAGAAAACCCGACTCCTCCACATCTGTGAAAAGGACGGCTGTTCCGCTTCGTCTCCTTCAGTTTCGTGGGGGGCCTTGAAAGCTTGAAAGCTGATGCTTGCAGGAGAAAGTGGCGGTGAGCCCAGGCGCACTTGAACAGCTGATCTTCCTCTCCAAGGTGGAGCCACGCGGCCATGCCAAAGAAAGCTGTCACAGGATCTGAACCTCTGACAGGGAGATATGCGGTGTGCTGTAACGATGCTCCAGACAGCCGTCCAAGTCTACGACAAGGCGACGGCATGCAAAAGGCCTAAATGTACCCTCGTGCATTTCCTGTCCAGGTGGACGAGGACTCGCTGGTTGAGGCGTGGAGAAAGCACATCGTGGCCTTCTTCCGTGTGCCGCCTTGAGGTCTTTTGCGCCGTTCCCGATTCCAAGACACGGGAGCTGCTGGCCCGTTGCCGGTCCTCCCAGACGACGGAGCAGGACGGGGTTTAGGGGACGGAGAGGCTTGGCGTATGAGGCGACGGCCAGCGCAGCGTGCTCCGCCTTTGAGGTGCTCGAGGCGGTGCGAGACTTCCTCCTCGAGGGCTTCTCGGGGCTGCAGGTGGGGCGGAATTGACCCCACTGCTCCGCTATAGGCTCCGCTATAGGCTCCGCTATGCTCCGCTCATCTCCGCTCGTCTCCGCTCCCGCGAGGTGATGGAGCAGTTGCAAGAGCTCCTGGCAGAGGCCGCCTGCTACGCCATCGTGCTACGCCTGCTACGCCTCATGTGCCATGTGCCATGTTTCTCTCTTGGCAGGACGTGTCGCTCCAAGACGCAGTGAAGGCCAAGTGTGCCGTGCTCTTCTCGCAGGCGCGGCGAGTCGAGAGCAGGAGCGTGTTTGAAGAGCCGGAGTGAGATTCCCCATAACCCCATAAACCCCATAAACTCCTAAAAACCCTAAAGCCCTAAACCCTGAAAGCCTAAAGCCCTA